TAACATGGCTACCCCTCTGATACTTAACAATAATGGTCTTTCAGACCCTTGCCACTGACTGCCTTTGCGGTCTTGAGCAAGTCACTTTACATCTGTAAAATGAGGATAATACTTATCTGCGCTGGGCGGGGGCAGGGTTGGGGATTACTTAGTGTTTGGAAAGTACTAAATAATAATACCACCTAGCTTTTATAGAGTGCTTTTCATCAGTAGATCTCAAAGTGCTTTACAAAGGAGGTCAATAGCATTCTCTCCATTTTATAGATGGGGAAACTGAGGCACAGGGATGGGGAGTGACTTGCCCATGGTTATCCAGCAGGCCAGTGGGAGAGCCAGAAATAGAATTCAGGTCTTCTGAGTCTCAGGCCAGTACACTATCCGAAGTGCTAAGACACCAGAGGGAGGGGAAATAGAGGGATGGGGTAATACCCCGAAGATTTAAATGATTACATTGATTACATTTAAAAAAGTTAATTAAATTAAAATGGCTTGATTGACAGCCGCGCCAAGCTCATGCTCAGACCAGCTAAGGGGAGTGGAGGCCAAATCTGAGCCATCTCAATTTTGTTAGTTAAATCTTCTAAAAATAGTGTTAGAAAAATGCCTGATGGAAAAAATATCAAATTGAAACTGATCTCAGATGGAGTGTTAGCTGTGTGGATATGGCTACCCCATGTATATCCATACTTTTTAATAACCAGTCATTGCTTCTACTTGTAATGAAAATCCTCAAGAGAGCTGTTTAAAAATATCCAAATGGATAAAATAGCCAACAACACGAATGGGAGTGGCATTCTATTTTACCTGAGAGAACCCAAAATTGGGGTTTATATTAAATATAAGTTGTGCCGTAAGGAGATTTCAGTACATTTTTTTCTCTCTCTCTTCATAGCATTAGAGGCTGAAAGGATGTTTGAATCCAAAAGATTGAATAAGATTGACCTTGAAAACAAGACTACGCAGCAAACTGAGTCTGACCTGAAGGGCAAGAGAATTGGTGCAAGAAGGCCCCTTCCACCTTTCTGATGGCCTCATTCTAGGCCGAGATCTTTGAAGCCCTGGCTCCAGTCTCACTCAGGTCTCTTACTCAGTTAGACTCCCGTCAGTGCCAACAGTGCAAATCGTGGTCTCACTTTGCGCCATTGTAACAGATCGTTGCCAGCAAAAAACGACCTTCAAAAAAATTCTGCTGTGAGTAAGGACTTCAAGAATTGGCCCGTTACTTCCAGGAATCCTCGTGACTCAACACTTACCTGCCTAGCAAGGATGAGCTGCCACATACAGCTCAGTTTGTAATACACAGGAAAGCTGGATGTAGGCGATGACTAGGTCATGAATAAATTCTATCCTTGTACCAGTCCCTTCACAACCATCTTACATTGTTTCTATTATAAAGCTCCCAGGATGAATATCCTAATGCATCATGAATGGGTTAAGTTCATGATCGACAGAAAAGATACAAGTTTATTAATCAATAATTTAAAAGGGAATTAGGTACCTAAACACCTTCGGGGATCTGGGCCTTTGTACTTTTAGGTATTTTTTCCAATTCTAGAAGAAACAATGAAGATAACAGCCACGTTGCCAGTATTTTCTTGAGATGTAAAATGAATTGTCCATGTTTTTGTTTTTTATTTTTGGTAACAAATTGGGTGGGGTGGGGTGGGGCGGGGGAAGAAAAATATCTTGCAAAAACATTCAGAGTCCAAAAAAAGGTTATAAAGTAGCATCTAGAACAGGGGTGGGCAACTTTTTGGCCTGTGGTCCACATCGGGATTCTGAAACTGTATGGAGGGCCGGGTAGGGAAGGCTGTGCCTCCTGAAACAGCCTGGCTCCTGCCCCATATCCACCCCCTCCCTCTTCCCGCCCCCAGACTGTCCCCCACAGAACCCCTGACCCATCCAACCCCCCTGCTCCTTGTCCCCTGACCGCCCCCGCCCCTAACTGCCCCCTCAGGACTCCACCCCCTATCCACCCACCCCTGCTCCCTGTCCCCTGACTGCCCTGACCCCTATCCACACTCCTGCTCCCTGACAGCCCCTGAGGGGCTCCCATGCCTATCCAACCCCCCCTGTTCCCTGCC